GATAATCTTCTGGGTGTTCATTTGCACTGGTTGTAATATTGTTTTGCTATCCTGCATGTAAGCATTGCCATGGGAACCCCGCCTCTATCCTCCATGCAAATGACCGAGGGCGTGTCTAAATGGGCATAACATATACCTTGCTACAAGTGACTCTAGTTGAGGTGCCGGCTGTGAGTGTACCTCAATAATGGATGTGTGTTTGTGTGCCAATGCTTATCAATTGTGCTGATTCACCCAACACCGGAGATGCAAGAGAACTATCTCCAGTGAACGATCCAAGGGGCCGAAGGCAGAGGGGTGAAGGGGGCTAACCTAATCACTGGTGCAAGTGCACCACCACCACGCTTCCACGTTTTTGACGGGTGGCCCCAATATACCACTCCCATCCACTCCCCAGGCCCCAATTACTTTTCCCTTCACTCCCTGCCGCTCCCTGGGCCCCAATTACTGCCCCATGTGCTCCCTACCACCACTTAGGTCTCAATTTTTGCCAGCTTATAACTATTTTATGGACGGCAGTATGGACCACTAAACAATGGATGGTAGGGCCAAGCTCTAGTTACCAGCATGCTCAAGAACATATTATCAAGGTAGTTAACAAGCAAAGGAGGGATGTTGTGAGGGGAGGACTCATACTACATTGTACTTCCTCCGTCCGGAATTAAATGAAACAGTTTGTTGACTGAACATATTTTTATCGTGTACATTTTATTTTTCCTTCAGAATTGGACCAGCGTATCTACTATGTGTTTAGTCAATGCTGTCAAAATTTTATCGACAGACAATAAGATTCAGACATATGGTTGTACTTTGAAGCCCAACGACTCATCGCCAGAATTTGAACATTCGCAGTCAATCCCCAAACCCACGAAAACCTAGCGCCCTGGACCCATGAAGGCCTGGTGCACGAGTGATGCCCCTTCCAGTGGTCTTCAAAGTAACAGAAGGGGGGAGGTGCCTCGGCGCTCGGGCTCTAGCCCAAAGATCGACACCCATCGCAATGCACGATCGACAGAATTGGCACCTGTGTTTGCGTACCGCCATCGATGGATGCTCGAAATCCCCGCATCTTCCACAACAGCACACCGACACGCCTGGGATCCCCCACTGCCTAGCGGTCTCCTGGTGGCTAAAGACTAGCCGTTGCATATTTGCACGCAACACAAGCTTAAGTTTCAGCACAGATCTCTGATTAGGTGCCTTCCTGATGCAAGCAAACCCTCTTTCCAAACAGGCTTCGACCCTGCCAAACATGACAATGGAGGGTTTCGATGCTCTACCAGAGACCCCACGTGTCGCTATGATGGCGTTCTTGCATCTTGCAATGGCACGGGCGAAGCTCAGTTGCAGCGGCACCCTTGAAAGTAGCGTGAACGGCGCACAAAGTGTTTCTCGTGGCACGTGCCCACCACAGCCAATTTCAACGATCTTTTGGCCGCCACGCAGCGAGGGCACGTTCACATTCTCCCAAACCTTCTGTGGCGGTCTTAGCACCCATGGCGTCCTCGCCCATGGTGGGGACCCTTTCTACAAACGCCGGGACTGTGAGGTTCGCAGATTTCTGGGTCTCCGATCCGGAGCTGCTGCCCTGATAAGGCCATCAGAACCACGGTGGCGATCAAGGATCGAATGGTACAGAACCCGGTTTTGTGATCTTCCCCCTCTGGTAGGAACGGTGTCGATCTGCCACCAAGACGGCAGCAACAAATATCCACGCTGGGATGCCCACCGTCAGTCGCAAGGCGGCCTGGTCAAGGACCTGTTTTGGGGGCTGTTCGGCCAGACCTTGAGAAACCTGGACTTTTTGACCTGAATCACAAGGGTTCAAAGTACTGCCACGTGGCCGGTACTTATTCATTGTCCACAAAAATTTGGCAGCATATAGCAAATGTGTAGACAGAACCTTGGTCCAATTTTGAAGGAAAACTTACAAGTTTGTGATATAAATATGGTCTCTTAAACAAACTGTTTCATTTATTTCCGGACGGAGGAAGTATATTATAAGCTGGTTGGGAACATTGTACAATAGGAATATTCGTTTGAGGGAAAGAGCACAACACATTGTATAATAATGACCTTCACGGGGACAATGTATATTAGGGAACTAGGGTCAGCACTTGAGGAAGAATAGTGCCAATTAGCAGTGGCAGCAGGGGTGTTTTCTAATACCATGGATGAAGGGGGAGATACCGGGGAGAAAGCGCCATGTTGGTCAGCACAGTAGAGACAGGTCTCAGGAACAATGGGTTGGTGGAATGGAAGAACAAGGGACAGGCTAATTCGAATTGAACCTTGGCGGGTATGCCAGAATTAGGGTGACTCACCCTATTTCTGGCATGACCCTTGGGATCCCTTGGGAGCGGGTATAAATACAAACACTCCGGATCCATTTGTAATCAAAGTTGCTGCCCAGTTTCAACTCGACCGGTCTCCGACTCGAATGGAGAGAACGGGCCGTTTCCCATTCGGCCAAAAAGGGATTCCGCCCCTTACAGATGTGCAATTCAAGGTGGGCAATGAAGTAGTTATCCAAATATCTTTTTGCCCCACTAGACATTCGCTTAGCTTCCGCCCAAGATTTAAAGTCGATTTGTCAGACTATTTTGAATAGCAAAGGTAATCATTTCAATAGCATATACAGTTGAGTTACCGCCAACATGGCACGTGCACTCTATATTCGATAGGGAGAAGCTAAAGCTTTTTATTAAGAGGATTTCAGAGTTTTAGCAGAATGTGGATCCACCCCCTTCAATGGATGTTGAGGGGGACTTTGAGTATGAAGTTGAGGCGATTATCAGGCACAAAAGTAATAGAGCAAGGAAGCATTATTTTGTAACTTGAAAGGACTACCCCGTGCATAAGCCAACGTGGGAGCTTGAGTCCAACCTTACTCATTGCAATGATTTTCTTTTCGAGTATTTACAACGTTAGCAAGCAATTGCATAAAAAACAATCAAAGTCCAAGGAATTCAAAGGGAGCATTAGTGATGGGCCTACATGGAGTTTGGTGCAATTGGTTTTGAGCTGGGTATGAGTGCCTTGGGACACTCTGCATATCTTGGTCAATTGCGATTGTTGGTATGTTGGCATCTTTCGTCTTGCCTTTGAATTTTGGTAGTGTTGTGCCTATGTTTGCATACAGCACACTTTTCCATGGGGGGAGAATTGTTGCCTATGGTGCCATTTGCGGTGGCCAGTAGTACATTGTGATTATTGTACATTATGACTTGTACATTATATACTTTCGAAGTATTTGATTATGTACATGATGCATGTGGTATAAGTGTGCGTGGAGCACACTGTGTAACGCCTCTCTTTTTGGTCACCGAGAGGGCTCAGTCTCTCTCGTGCAACCCTCACGTGGTCCGCGCTAGGACCCGCACCACAGAGTTGAAGGCATTATGTGGGTGAGAAGCAAGGAAGGTCAAAGGGGTATTGGCAACGTGGGAAAGATGTCCTATGCATTTGTCCACATGACACCTCACTCATTGTGCCTTCCTTTTCTTTGAGTCATTGACTTGTCATCGACAAAGTGGCATTCAACCCACAAATCGATTCGCAGAATCGGGGACGGTTTGGCTTGAAGTTTGGGAAAAGTTGTAGCTTTTTCGTGTGATTTTGCAGTGCAGAGTACATTGACTTCATTTCATAGATGCTAACTTGGGGTGTTGCAACTGCTTCGGTTTGGCACCTCATTGTCCATGCATACGTGAACTTTTTTGCACCACCTACATCATGGCATTCCAAGTGGGCCGTAGTCTAACCTATGCGCTTCTGCTCTGGGACACGTGACTACTATACACGGGATGCTACACATTTGAGACACAGCCTTGGGAAGCCTGGTCATCCGTATTGTACAATGCTCTCCCAGCACAGTGGCGGCAGAGCCAGAAGCACCACTGAATGCGCCAGTGTGGCAACACCATCGAGACTCCCTCACAATTTGTTGCACATTCTGGGGCGCTCAATTTCCCCGCCTCTTTCCTGTTGAACAAAGATTTAACGTCCACTCTGCAGGAATGGCTTTTGGGTCTTGGGGATCTCCATTTGTCCCCGCATGATTCTGCATCAGTTGATATACATGGCAAGACTTCATTCAGCGTGTGGCTGCCTTGTAAGAACACCACACGTGCCACCACAGTGGCAGGCTTTGACCGGGCCTTAATGTTTGTAAATCCTTGCACCCTCTCACACAAGAACATTGCACATCAGCTAATTGGATATGATGTTTTCAGAATCAAGCACCATCCCACCGAAAAAAGTATATTAGCTCAGACAGCAGCTTCAGGTGCGCTGAGGTTCACATATACAACCAACATTGAGGGTCTGATGCCACCTTACAAGTTGCCTCTCAGTTACTCCACGAAATCCCCTTTTAAACTGCAACAAGAGTTGTTCACAAGCACATAGCTGGGTGCCAACCAATATACATGGGGCACATTCATGCCAAAATGCCATCAGTTAGCATTGTCAGTACAATGTAAATGACCAGCCTGCCCCCCCCCAGATTCTGCAATAGATGGATGCTGTCCAAACATGGACACCTGACTCAAGTTCACACCAAGGAAGGTGATGGAACCCAGCTGTTTGGGCGATTCGCTATGAGAACGACCCGCAGCCGACAAAGAACATCCCTGGCACTGTCCAGGCCTCTGTCGTTGGGTATGACATCACAAAAGGTTAGGCTGCGGCACTAGAATGCAAGTGCATGCTGATCTCCACCAAAAATTGTCACTCGCCATCGATAAAGTCCTCCACTACTCCTTGGGAGCATTTGAAGCACTGTATGCCAATCCAAACTCAAAATGTATCAGAAAAGGCGGCTGACTGGGAGGGGGGCAAGCAAGAGGGTGCTCTCCCCCTGTTTAAACTCACATTGTACAGAAAAAGCCGGGTCAGGGCCAGTGAGGCCGGAAGGGGTGGGGAAACGGGTTCTATCCTTTGTTGTGGACTAACTTCCGGGGCTACTGCAGTGATTGTGGCGTAGTGCCGACCGCCTGTCAGGCGGCCCCCAAAGCCCCGAACGCCATTTGGTAACAGCCACACTGCCGAGCCATTTTCTCGCCCCTGACGTCCAAGTCGATCTCCGCCTGCGTCTCCAGCACGTACCAAAGGAAATACAGCTGCAGCAGTAGCGGGAAGCGTTCCCCAAAGTTCAAGGACCGCTGGTTCAGCCGCCCCACCTCGGCCACCCCGGACTTCACAATCCAGTCCTTGGCAGTGTACGTCAGCACATACTGTCGACCCATATACTCCGTCGTCAGCTGTCCCAGCACCCCCTTGCTCTTCACCGCCGACAGGACCTCCTTCACGCCCTTCCGCACCCGCAGGTCCTCCAGCCTGGCCTCATAGGGATTGCCGCGCACGACGAGCATAGCCCTCCCGCTGCCCTCGACCACCACGCGTCCCACCAACTCTTCGCCCTGCCAAACATCGCGGCCCAGGCTGTCGGGGCTCACCGTCTTCACAACAAGCCCAGCCATGGCTCCAACACAAGGAGCTTTCAGCGGCGACCCCCGAATGCAGTCCCCTTCAAAGCACAACGGTAGCCAGTTTTGGCGCCCGATGCGCTGACCTATTGTTCCCAGAAAGTGGCCCGTGCTGTGGAGAACTCCCTCTGCCCCGACCGGTGTCTGCAAGCTCGACTCGCGCCCGCAGTTCGCTCCCTTGACTCCGAGGTGAGGGCAGCCTCACACGGCCTGCCGGAAGCGGGACAAGCGAGTGGGAGTGTGTGCGCGTGGGGCATTTCAGTGAACATGCTCGCTGAATTACAAGGGGTCTCTCGCGGCCCCGCCCCAGCCACCACCACTTCTCCCCCTTTTCTTTTACAGTACAGTAGGGGTCCCTGTATAACGCCCCCCCAATAGCGCCCCCAGCCCCCGATAGCGCCCATTTTTTTGGCATATCACCATTTATGTAGTACTTTATGCAGCTTTGTTGCGCAGTGGGACCTCAAACTAGT